AGAGCACACACCCTGCACCACCGTGGGAATGTCTGTGTGTGTGTATAGATATTTGTGTGTGTGTGTTTGTGCTGTAAGTGAGAAAGATGCATGCTGTGTAAGCATGGGATTATCCTCCCCTCAGGTAACTTAACACCTTGGCTGCTGTGAGACAACAGTAAACACACACACACACACACACATAAAACCCTGCACATGTACAGACAGCAGAGAAAAATGAAACCCTCTCTCTGTCTGATGCAGATCTCAAACACCTTGAGCATTCGATCTCCTCTGTCTCGACATAATGTTGTGTTTCTTTGTGGTTCATCAGTGAATTATCCAAAGATATTCACACACACACACACACTATTAGATTATAGAATCACATCCTCAAAACAGAGCCGTGAAAACGATAAGGACGGCTGCCAGTTCATTAAAGGAGCCGTTTGTAGCCGTAGATTCCTGTTTTCAGATTCTGTCAACACGTTGGATTTAATGAGCTCAACCACTTATCAGTTTAATTACATGGATGATATAGTTCATTAACCTGAGTTGAATCGCCACCAGCTCCTAATTCTGTGATGATTCGCAGCTTCGAGCGACATGAATACAGAACAAATATGTGACAAAGATGAAAATGAACCAGCCCGTCTTCTGGACTCTGCAGAAATGAGATTATCAACGAGTTAGCAAACACTTTTCTCTACCTTCCCTCAGTGTGACAACTAAAGTGTGTTTTCATTTGTTGGTTTTACTTGAAGCTAATTGGGTGTCATCTAAAGAAATGATGGAAGAAATTAAAAAATATGACTGATGAGGTAAAACAGACTTTACAGGTAAGGAAAAAAGTTTATACGGTTAGACAACACGCTAGCAGCTCTGACAGGCTTCTGATTAATTAACAATTAATTTAGTGCTACCATGGGATCACATGAGAGGAAGTGGATATCTGCACCATCTTATCCGACAGCTGTTGAGACATTACACTACAGATGGCAGCTGTTACCTCAGGGTGGCACTACAGAAAACGTCAAAGCTCTTTATGGTTATCGACTCCCAGGAAGCTAAAATCTGTTTGGTCCGATATCGGCCCAAATCTGGCAGATCAGAACTGGGCCTGGTTGCCAAATTTAATCTAAGGTGTTGCAGGTCTTTTTGATGACTTGGTCCAAATCTGTTCCAAATACACATGTGCCAGGTCTCAGCCTTTTCTTATCTGGGGAATAAGATAAATGCATTTAATCGTGTGAACTATAAAATGTTTATTAAAGTAGGAAAAAGAGAACGGTAACTTTTCTTTTTACATTTTCTTTCTCAAATTTTTTTAATTTTTCAAACTTTCTGTTTTTATAATTCCATCAAAAATACACTACAAACATATATTACAAAGCAGCGACAGCAAAAATAAAACGTTCAGAGAGCTTGCACCCACAGAGCCGTGGAACATGAACCAGCAAATGGTGTGGCAAATTCAATTCTTGTGCAAACAGCACAACACCTGAGTGTGGTTCACAGCCGCGAGCAAACACATTTAACCGTGACCCGCAAAGGTAAAGGAAGACGTATGACGCACAACCAAAGTGTGAGGCAAGCCAAATTCGTGGATACGCACACCGGATGCACGTAGCTCCCGAACAGAAGTAATAAATCAAGAGAATGATGCAAATGCAGGCACATTAGGTGAGATCACTCACTTAATGTTCACAGTCACACACGCACAAAACACACAAAGGTACGCAGCCTGGATCTCATCAATATCCGCAGCTCTGCCCATCAATCTTATCTTTAAACATTTGTTTTCAACTGATCAGTTTGACGTGTTATACAACATGATGATCTAAATATTGGTTCACATCCTGCACAAAAATATTCATGCCCGAAAACAGTCAGAGGTTGAGATGTTAAAGGTGCACGCCTGACGCAAAAAACCATTTCATGTTCTTATCCAAATATTTCCATTTGTAGTCATGTGAAACTGGCACCCATACACATTCTCTGAAATCACTCATACATGCCACTTACAGCTAAAGTCGGTTCGTTCAAGTGAACATGACATGAGAACCACTCGGTCTAAAAATATCTTCATCAACTCCCGAAGCCAGCTGTGAATAATTTGTGTGTAACTGTAGAATGTAAACGCCTCCTCAGGTCGTTTAAACACCCACATTCCCTGAAACAATACGAAGGCCTGTTCTGTGTCATCAGCAGAAGTACAGGAACTCTCTCTCACACACACACACACACTAAATACAGAGTTTTTGTCTCCTGTGATTATCTGACCGTGGGTGTGAAGGTCTGTAGCCTTGAGGTTTAATGAAGCACTTCAGCAGAGTAAACTATAGACCTATCATTAACACCGGCCTGCAGACGAGACCTCTGCATCTCTGCAAAGACAGTTTTCACCTCTTTTGATGCAGAAAATACTTTTCTAACCAATTAAAAACTGTCAACAACATTTTAAACAGTTTTTATTTAATATCATCTTCTTTTCATGGAGGACACTGATGTCCTGATATATACACATACATAAAATAGACACTGTTCGATCAGACCAACTTTAATTGGGTCTTTAACTCTGCTGAGCACCTGGTGTACTTTGTTGATTGAGAAAATAATTGGCAGGAAAAATTTAATTTTTAATGAAGTAGCTGGATTTGATATCAGGCTGCCATAGATCCATCCAGTTTTGTTATGTTTACTTCCCCTCTCTCTTTATCGCTCTAATTCTTCTAAGTTTTAAGAACCACGAACTTTATTTATGAGCTGGACGATAGAAATATCACACCTGAGCCAGAACATACATTATTTCCAAGCGCGTTTGCATATCGGCTCACAAACTGCATTTTAACGTGATGCAACATCCTCCAAGCCCCGCCTCCAACCTTCCTCCGTCATCCTTCACGTTTCTATCGTCCTTCTGTTGAAGTTTCAACAATGCCTTTAAATCTTTCTCAAAACTTTACTTGTACTTTTAGGAAATATGCGTCAGGAGCAAACACAATATTTTACCTGCTCGGCCACAATAACTGGAATTAAATTATCTCGGGAGCCTCCTGTTCCTGCATCACGCTGTAAATTATGTCCACACACAGACAGTGTATGAATTAGTGTCAGCAGCTTTAACAGACGACGTTGTGGAGATGTCAAACCTGATAGAAGGCTCTTGAGATACGCGGCTTCGATTCTCAGCTTTCACGCTCGATTCTTTGAAATGTATGAACTTCGGTCTGAGGCTGACGAGAGGCCCGGAGGCGTTCGATACCGTCGAGGATCAGTTGTGATCATAAATTAGAGCGTGTACCGCTGGAGTCAATAACTTCAAGAGTCACTTCGGAACCCTCTTTGTTTCTGGTGTCATGTCTGGGGTCTATATTCAAGTGCTTTGACTGTCTCATATGCAGACGGCTGCATGTTTTTTAATGCAACCACAACGTCCATGATCTAAAGGGCTCAACAGCGTGAAGTAGAAATCCCAGGAAACATACTGACTATCAGCTGTAATATTTTAACCATCCACGGTAGTCAAAGAGTACTACACTACCCATAGTCCTCAGGTGTAATAGAGATGTCTCTGATTGGTGGAGCCCTAACAAGCTGCAGTTTTTTTAGATGCGAGGTGCAGGAAGTCATTGGAATGGGGTCATTTGCAATGGTTCATGGGATGTGTAGTTCCTACACTCTTCAAATATTTACACACACAGTCGGTACCTTTGCTTTTCTTTGTGTTTTCCAATATTGTTTGAGAAAACCAACGCAGACACATGCTCTGACGCTAAGAAACAACATTAATATTTACATTTGCATTTGCAGTCCCACCTGTCTGATGGCGAGCAGCAGCTTGCCGTAGGAGTAGAGGATGACGATGAACGGCAGCACCAGGCAGAAGGTGAACAGGCAGATGATGTAGGAGATATTGTTAGGCGTCTGGGTCCGCCAGTCAACCGAGCAGGTGGTGCCGGGGCCCTCGGGCCCGTATTTGCTCCAGCCCAGCAGCGGGGGGACGGTCCAGGCCACCGAGTAGAGCCAGGAGAAGCAGATCCCTCCCAGCGCGGGGCGGTAGTCTCTGCCGTCAGCCATGGTTGGCGCCATCATGGTGCAGTAGCGCTCGTAGGACAGGACGGCGAGGGATATGAGGGAGACGATGCCTGGGGGGGGGCAGAGAGGAACCGGTCAATGATTATGATGCTTCTGATTTGGCTGTTTGTTTATTTTTTACTCACTAATATTGATATCAACAGCCAACGCCAACATCCATATGGGCAGGGCTCTAACACTGAAGCTCCGATTTATTCTGAACATTTTACATTTAAAATAAAGACGTCTAGTTTACTTACAATCCAACTTTGCATCGTATCCCCGGAACGAAACATGAGCTGCGTGTTGTGACTCAACCTGAATCCTGAGCTAATCATTACATCCTAAGTGGTCACGTAAATCATCATGAAGCTGCTTACACCTGCTTCTCACACGGAACAAACACGCGCTCTCATCTGCATCAAAGCGGACGCAGACAGCAGCACAGCTGTACGCCATCTTCTTCTGCATGTTAATTGCTATTTGATGAACATATGCAACTGGAGAAAATTCTTAAATCAGAGCTAATCAGCGCACACAAGTTAAGTGCCGGTCCAGGGGCACTTTGCTGACTTTGATTACAGACAATCAGAGCACTTGGATCCGTAATGACGGCTTCGCGTTTGGCTTGGACAGCGGGGTGAGGTAGTGGGCGAACACCGTGTTGAGAGCAACAGCAAAGAGTCCTGAGAATAATTAAATTATTGTGTGTGTGTGTGTGTGTGCAGGTAGAGAGAGCTCCCTCTGTCCATTACTGATGCCCTCTGGTTACATAAAGCAGGTCGACTCCACTCCTCTACACTTGTGGGTCAAGCATTATTAACACATTGTGTTGAAATGACAAAAGATACCAACATGTGACCGATGAGGTCTGCAGATATTTAAAACCGACACACTTTTGAAAAAGAAAATGTTCTCTGGACTCTTTTTTTTTTCCGATTTGAAAAATGGGGACTTTTATCTGCGAATGTGCGAAATTTGGGACAAATCCACATCTGGCAGATTTAAACGTGGTTTCACACTGTGGGGACTGTGGGGCGATATGCACTTCACTGAGAAAAATACATTTGTGTTTGGATTATTTTATAATTATAGAGTGATCTCGGGTAAACAAGTCCTCACCTGTCTAACACAGTCTATTCTTTGAGTTTGAATTGTCTGCTAACGTCTCTAACAGCTTTCATTTGCTGTGATGATTGTACAGTCTCTGCTCGGAGCCTCCTGGGGACTCAGGGCCGCAAATCATTTCCCAGCGTGTGACTTTGATTCAAACGTCACCACCATCACATTCTCCAATGTGCATTTTAATGGGGTTTTCACCTGAGGCCTGAATCTTCTTTGCCCAAGAGGTGTGGAATAATTTGCAGAATGACTGACCCAGTGTCCCGGGCCTGAGTCAGCACGGGAGCTAATCATCTTTCTCTTGCTTCACCTCGTCTATTTCTTTGTCTCCTCTTTCTCTTTGTCTTTCTCAGTCTGTTCTTTCTTTCTGTCTTGTTTCAGATCCAATTGTTGGCAAAACAATAGCACTTGTGCCAAATCTGACCACTCAGCACAACGTCCAGCGCACTCCCACTGTGTTTACATGCATTTACTCTGCATAATCCTGTTACTGGTGGCTTTCTGGTGTAACCTGATTTCTTCAAAGTCAGATAAAAGAAATTTGGTTTTCCTAATCAGCTTATGGGGATTAGTGAAACCTGATTTTCTGTATCTTGATTTCTTCTGAGGAAAGATTATATCTTGACTGTGTCTAAGCATAACCAGACTTGTGCTTGTGTTTTCACAGTGCGCATGATGAAAACTTCATACAGTGAAAGTACTGATGGAGATTATGTGACAAAAGAAAATTACTGCTGCATGTAACAGTTATTTTTATGATTACTCCGTTAATTGTTGATGCTTAAAATGTCACCACCTGTTTGCAACAGTTTCCCAAATCTTGCACCTGTTGGCCAATGATTTATTGATCGTGACGAAGGGCAAACTGAGAAAATAACCTACAGAAACAAAAGAAGAAAGAGAAAGGGAGGAGGAGAACAAAAGAGCCTTTTGACTTCAGAAACAAGATCTTATTCCAGCGAGAGTGACCTGATGCGGCTCGATTACAGTTACAGGGCACCAGCTCTGGTGTTGTCTGGGTAATTGTAGTGGAACAGACAATGTCTCATTAGTGACTCAACAACGAAGCAGGTTCCACCTCAGCTCCTGCAGCCGGAGGGTGAGATGAGACGTCTTTAACCTTTTCATAGTATTAATGTGGGTCTGAGGATTATCCAGCTTGTTTTATTAAACTGACCAAACAGTACTGTGTGATTGTGCACTTGTGGTTTTGCAGGGTGAATTTCCAATTCTGTAATTTCAGTTTTTGCACGAGTAAGTCTGGACTGACGTCGTCTCTGGCTTCATGTAGATTTCATAATTTGAGCCAATCTGAGCGCCATTCTCCGAACAGAGTCATTCTGGTTTTTGTATTGGGCATTTGCACATCAACAAAGCGACACCTGGGGAGGCCACCTGTAGGTTCAAATAAATTGCTCAGAATTGTCCAGCCATTGCACAAAGAAACATGTTTTAAAAAGTAGATGCAATCAGGCTCAATATCGCCCTCAGGCTGCATTTTTCTTTCTCAGCTGGAAAAACAGTTTGAAACCTGCAGAGTTCAAACTCATTCTTGCTGGAATCAGATCCAACAATGTTCTCCCTCCTCGGACATAAATCTCTCATAGAGGTTTATTCTGCTCACTCGGGTCCATTTTTAAACTAGAATGACACTCAGTAGAACTCCACCATGGCCCAACAGTACCGTTACCTTTGCACCAAATCCACTATGTTCTGACTTTGTTTTAAAACTGTTGAAGATGCATAAACCTTATTTAACCCACATTAACTCAGCATCACATGGGGGGTATCTATATCATGTTGCAGATGACAAGCCCAGCTCCGACCTGAATCTCTAAAGCGTCTCGGCAACAGTGAGAGAAGCCTTTTGATCTCGTCACGTAAAATTTTGATGCTATTGGTTATTACTTACTTATTCTGCAGGTGCTCGGGAACACGCACCGCCGAGGAACAGTGTGCAAAATTAATCGAGCGGGTCCTCGGGTCATGGATGAACTGCAGATTATATGAATTGTGCATGTTTCATCACAGAGAGGATATGAAGCGGAGTTATGCAGCAACTTTAGTGAGAATCAGTTTGATGGAGGAAAGTTGAGAAAACAGATGAGATTGAAAACTGGTGTGTGAAAGAGAAGATAAATGGAGGTGCAAAACCATAAACGATCCGGTTTAACAGAAACTCTGACAGAAGCAAAAGAAACAATAACACCGTAATGTTGAACAGGAACAGAACAGATTAAGGACCTGACAGTACCTTCGTGCAAAACTTCATAGAGAAAGACCAACAGCACCTCACATCTTACTGCACCTTACTGCTGCTCCACAGAAACAACAACCAATTTAAGAGCAATGACAACAAATTGCATTGCTATACTGCAAGACCGAACTCCATTGAGAAAATAACTGATTTAAGAGCAGCTAAAACTGCAAGTCCAGATTCCGTAAAGAAAACAACTTATTTATTCACAGCAGCACTTTACTGAAGGTCCAGACTCCAAATACAAATCAATAGCTTTGGGAGAAACAATTTCTTACCGTGTCATACTGCAACACACCAAACATCAATGAGAAAAACAAGGGAGCAAGAGCATCATCACACTGCACCTTACATCTCACTGCACTCTACTCAAGGTCCAGATTCCATAGAGAAAACAGCTAGTTTAATAGCAATGACACTTCGCAATCCCTTACTGTTACTCCAGACTCCAAAGAGAAATCAATAGCTTTAAAAGAAACACTTTACTGCAGCAAATCAAGCAGCAGCATCTTAGTGCACTTTACTCTGGTGCAGAGTCCACAGAGGAAGGAACAGATTTGAGAGCAAAGACCAAATTCCATTGAGGAAACAAAAGATTTGAGAGCATCTTACAGAGCTTCCCTGCAACTCATGACTTCATAGAGATAACAGGTGAGAAAAGAACAACAGCCCCTTCCTGATTCTTACATAGCTCACTTTACTCTGAGTCCAGGTTCCATAGAGAATATGACAAATTTAGGAGCAACAGAAATGCTTCGTTGCACCTTATTTCAAGACCAAACTTCAAACCATCTTTATCATTCATTCAGCTTCATGCAAGACAAGACCTCATTGAGAAAACAGCTAAATAATGAGCAACACGTTGCATCTAAGTGTTTCTTACTGCAAGTCCAGATTCCTTTGAGAAAACAACAGATTTAAGAGCAACACCTCAGTGCACTTTTCTCCTGGTGCAGATTCGACGGGGGAAAACCACTTATTGAAGAGCGCCAACGATAACACCTTCCTCAACCTTGCTACAGGGCCACACTCCAAAGACAAAACAAATATCTTTAAGAGTAGCAACACCTCTTCAGGGTGCAGCAGCAAGGTGAGTGAGGGCAAAGTGATGTGTTTAGCCTACTTAACACACTGATTAATCACATGCAATTGCTCTCAATCACAGAACCACTTAGTTGCAAAGTGTAAAACGTCTTAAGTCATCAAAAATCCAGGCACAGCAAGGACACCCCCCCCTTGATCAACAACATCATTTTGATTCACTCCACTGTCTGGAAAATCAGGATCTCAAGGTTTCTGAGCTGAGCCGTGAAACGATGCTTGACAGTGATTATGGTGAATAACCTGGAAACCGAGGGGTCAGAGGTCAGATCCCTGCACCGGTGAAGAGCTCCGTCGACCTCTGACGAACCAGATAAGAACGTGACAGGAGCAGATTTACTATCTCATGTGATATGAAATGATTTTCCTGCGTTTTTTCTTTCTTTCTGCATTTGCCAAAAATCTATTGTTCAATCTGGGACTAAATCTAAATTATGACACTTCACCAGATCAGATCCTTCAGTTTGCAATCAGCACATTACACCTTCACAACTTAATGAGATTTTAATGGATATTAACCGCAGAATTAATTGAGTGTATAGGATTTTAATCCTGTTGTATGGTTTGTGTGAGTTTTGCTGCAGGCGACAGATGCATTAATATCTTCTTGTGGCAAACGTGCAACAGAGAGAAGCTGATGAAAACAAAGTCAAGTGGAAAAAGTTTTTATCTGAACAAATTCATGATTTGGAGACAAAATCTCACAGTTACAAGGAGCTGACGAGTCAATATGCTGGAAAAAAAGAAGCCAATTTCCAATAATTGCGCACAGACACTATCTTATCTGACGGACAGTGAATGTAAGTGTGGACAAAAATCAATATTTCATCTCTGCAGAAGCAGATAAGTCACAACAAGGCAGATACAGACACGATTTGACAGATTTCATTCCAGATTAAATGTCCTGCTGCTGTTTTGGGCTCCGGAGATAAAGACAAATAACAAAAAACACCTGCTCACCCAAACACGCGTTGACGAACCCATACCAGACGCACCCCGCGCGTCCGATCAGCCACCGCCCCTGGGTGCTGGCCGCGAAGCTGAACGGGGTCCCCAGGACACTGACCAGCAGGTCGCTGGCAGAGATGCTCACCAGCAGGAGGTTCATGGGTGTGCGCAGCGCCCGGTAGCGGCAGAACAGCGTGAGCACCAGGAAGTTACTGAGGAAGCCGACGGTGCCGATGAAGCCGAGGCACACGGCCACCACCAGGTGCCCCGTCGGGCTCAGGGACGGAGGAGGGAGAGTGCCGGGCACCTCTTTGTACGCATCCGTCGCCGCTATGCCGCCGGCTCCTCCCCCGGGACAGTGCTCACAGCTCAGGCTCACGTTGGAAACGATCATACCGGGCTGAGCCGAGACGTTTGGTCCAGCCCGAAGTTTCCACTATACGGCACCGAACCATCCGGTCTGCAAGGCTTTCTTTTTTCTTTTTTTTTTTTCTTACGCGCTCAACTCATGTGGAGAAGCGAAGACGCACGGCGGAGCGGCGGCGCAGTCCTCCCGCTGCACCGTGCGCGCATATGGCAAGTTTTATTAAAGGAGAGCGACGATTTGGAGAAGATGTCCGGTCAAGACGAGCCACTTAGAGAGGGAGCGAGTATTTACAGAGCAGATACCGGTGGTGTCACGTTGGGCCCGCCCCTCTCCACCGTGCGCTCCTGAATCCAAAAGGTGCGCTCCTTTGTCCATGCGCCAAATGCGCGAGAGCTTTTATCACCTACTGCCCCTTATTAGTTGCTCGGGGACAGAAACCATCAATACGAGGCGTGTGTGTGTGTGTGTGTGTGTGTGGACCAGGTATTACTCATGTTGTGGGGACCTAAATCTGTTCCCATTCACAATATCACATTCACAAGTTTTACGGTAAGCCTTGTTTTAAGGTTAGGTTAAGTTTAGGTTAGGTTAAGTTAAGTTTAGGTTAGTTTAGGTTTAAGTTTAGGTAAAGGTTAGGTTAAGGTTAAGCAATGTAGTTAAGGTTTGAGTTTTGACAATTTTTAAGGTTAAAACATATTTAAAGTTAAGTTTAGGTTAAGGTTGAGTTATGCTGAGACAAGTAGTAACTATAGTTAAGGTTTGAATAAGACACCAGGAAATCAAAGTTAGTCAATGTAATGTCCGCTGAAGTTACGGAGACACAACTCTGTGTGTGTGTGTGTGTGTGTGTGTGTGTGTGTGTGTGTGTGTGTGTGTGTGTGTGTGTGAGAGAGAGAGAGCATGCACACTCAACACACCACCACCACACTGACTGAAAGCATTGCATAACAACAGGCAGCAGATGAACACAGACAGATTTGAGGGCTGGGTGACAGAGACTCCACTCGTTTCACATTATTCTTTGAAACCCCTCACCATCGATCTCACCGCTGCTTTACCACTGTTCACACATTTAATTAAATGAAATAAGCGATTGCTCATGTCAGCAGCCGGAGGAGAGCGAATCCATGCGGCCTGACAAGAGATCAGTAGTTAACAGCCTGAAGGACACGAGCGATTTCTCCTGAGCTCTCTCTGTCTCTGCCAATCATTATTTCAAGTAAAAAGACAGATATGTACAGAGGGCTGTTCGCCAGTTCCACGGTGATCTATCGGTGGATTAGGTCACAGCTTGATGTCAGGGGTGAGGAAGTGCAATTAACTGTCAAAAGCACAGGAATCGATGGTGTTTGCTTGGTCCCGATCTGTTTTTTTTCTCCCTGTGCAAGTTCTTGTGTTGCTCCCGCTGCTTCCTCCTACCTGTTGCACACGTCTTCAGCTCTTTGACAGCAACATGATGATGCACATACGTACGAAAGAAGAGGAAGGAAATGGGAGAGAGTGAGGAAGAAGAAATCCCTGAGCACAAATGACAAAATGTGAATAGAGGTCTTTTGCCTTCTATTATCGACACACATTTCCCCCAAGGCCCAACAGTCTCCTTAAATTCAATCAAGCTGCACCAAATTGCAAACACTCGAAGAAATCAGTTCCTTTTAAACCAAGATCCATAAAAATGTTCCCTGTCAAATATGTGAAAATGCATCTTATCTCTGAACGTTAAAGGAAGTGACAAAACTAATTCCTGGATCGAATCCCTTCATGGAATCCATTTTACTTTCTTCACCCATGTCATATTCTTCCACCAAGTTTCATTGAAGTCGTTTTTGCATAATCCTGATAAAGAAATGACTCCTTGGTGGAGGTATTAACTATTTATTTTGTCGTTCAGGTTCATTAAGTTCAAGCACAATCTCAAAGCCCAGAAAAACCCATTCGCCTGATGAATTAGCCTCTGAGGGCAACTACCAAAATTTCGGAGTAGATACCTTCTGTTTGCACTGTTTACAGTCTGACTGGCACAAACAACGACACTTTGCCAGGTGTTTTAGGTCCAGACGACATTTTGGCTCATCTCTGTTAACACCTGTCTTCAGATTCACATGAAGAATCCGTTTATCGAAATTAGTGAGGGAGTAAATGTGATCATGGATTGAGAAACGAATCAGTGTGCTCATCACCAAGTCATCATCCAAAGTCGTTTTCCTTTCTGCTTTGCAACAAAATGTTATTGAACCTAATCCATTCCAGTTTTAACACGTGAAACGTCTTCCTGTCAACTCTTAACTCACCTCTGCTGTAAACGTGAGTGAATTTGTCCATTTCAGACAGCAGCAGGAAAAGTGCTCTGTGATAAAAACAAATCTAAGCATCTCTAATTTGTGGTTTTCATTGTTTGAAGATGTGTATTCTCCTCGGAGTGACACGGCACGTCAGCGGGGCTCAGTGGGAACATCGAGTTCTGCTCCCCGAGGCCAAGCGGCCCTCAATTCAATCCCATGGTCTGACTTTTGATCTGTGAGCCGATTTTTCAAAGCGCGCGGCCGGCCCCCGAGGAGGGAAACGCATTTGACGGGTTAGTTAGACCTCAAGGGCACAATGTAAACTGACTCAAATCATCTGCATTGATTATTTGGTTGAAAGTAGTGGAGGATATATTCTGGTTGCACAGACTCATTAAATTGAGCGGGGTGAGTTTACTCACAGATGATTGATAAGATTGCACAGCGTCTTGTACTCTCTGCCGCGCTACATGCAGGAACACGAGGCCCTGCGACGAGCTTTACCTTTCACTTCAAACGTAACCATGTACTCCTGCACCTGCAGTGAGGAATGAATAATTAATTAAGCAAAATTAGTTATTTTAATGAAATTGGCCTCATAAAAAATGGAGCAGTGTTCATTAAAACTTAAGGACACGTTTCCCTGCACTTTTGTCTCTTGAGGGATTGGATAGACCCTGTCGTGGAGAATATGACATTTTCTTTATGTTCGCTTGAAGCTGTGCACGTAGGGTTTTCCTTGTGTTCATTATCGTGTGGGGTCGAATGTATGTGACAAAAAGATGAATAAAACCTTAAATGTCTGAGATATTTCACTGATAGACTATTTTTAAGCACCACAGGAATAAATAATGACTTGTTTATAAAGTTAAACTCAGTGTTATTGGTTTTTAGCATCCAGGCATGACATACATTGTCTCAAGGCACTTGACACAGTGAGAGAGGAGACTTCCCAAAACAAAGGTGTGTTGTTATTCAAAGAAAAACCATAAACGCTTCACGTTGCCCGTCAGAGGAACCACAGTGACAATCCACCTCATTTCACCTCCTCGCAGCTCGACTCTTGCGCTGCTTTCACCGAGATCAACCCAGCCATTCACAGATAAATTGAATCGCTCTCACTCTTCCATTTCAATCTGGAACATGGCTCTACGGACAAATACACACACACACACACACGCACACACACACAAACACACACACACACACCCACACACACACACACACACACACTCTGTTCCACTTGGTGATAAATTGTCTGGTGGCTGAGATGAGAGGTGACTGAAGGGTTAGTTGATTGGTTCACTCTCTCATTGAGGCTGATTGTGTGACTTAAATTCTCTTGGTTCACTCAGAGACTGACTGATCGAGCCATTCATTGGCTGATTGACTGACTCAACCATTTCTTGATCGACTGACGGATTCGGTGGTTGTCTGACTTGACTAATGTCAAGTGTGATTAATTAACTCTCGGACTAGTTGACTGAGTCATTTGTTGACTGATAAATTGACTGATTAAATGGCTCATAAATCACATCAACACTTGCAGTTAATCGTGATTAATGTTTGTTGATGTGCAACAATGCGTCACCGTCACATGATATTTTTCACATTAGGCAGATTTTTCATGACACAGTATATAAACATGTATTTCAATATGTCTTACTCTATTGTACATTCCGTCTCACCTCACATTTTCTCTCCTGAAATAATATATTAATTATCTTTATGCTCCACCAATGTGCCAAAGCACGGACAAAACAAACAGAAATCAATTCACTTTACACTAGAATTGGATGGTTAAAACCACAAAATGGGTCTGGTCACATGTACAGTGTGATCGTGAATCATAAATCTCTCAGAAAGTGCATATAAGCAAATATGCAGGCAAGTCAAACAGATGGAAATGGAGGGTAAAACATGCCGGCAGCCAACAGGAGGCACACTCCTGACATTTCTAGGTCAAGTGGGGGAATGAAGTAACATGGATTCATTAATTCTGATCTTCTGCATCACTTTTCAAATATTACCTTAACATGGAGAGCAGCACATCAGAGGGGGTTCCATCGCTGAAGGTCATGAGATGAATTTGAAAACTTTCTGACAAATGTGCTTGTCTTTGTTTGGTCCGATCACGATAGTTCCACACATCAACTGCACGTGTGGAGGAAATACTGTATAATCGACAGTTTAGACACATTCATACGAAGGGGAGCAAGTGTAATGTTTATTCGGATGTTTATTAATA